CGAGTCTAACTTGCCAACCCCCCCCCCCCTTCCCCCCCCCCCTTCCCCCCCCCCTTTCCCCCCCCCCTTTCTTTTTATCATCCCCTCCCCCGCCCCCCGTCATACTATAGCCTATTCCCAAGCTCTAGTCCTTCACATGTTACTGGTCTTGTGAAGTCAGATTACAGAACACTTGTGTGCACTGCATTCTGGACCCCCCCCAGCCCCACCCCCTGCCAGACGGTACCAGATTCCGCCGGGAGCTGGGTCCCTGTGCCGCACTCTGATGAAGCTTCTCTGAAACCAATACAGAAAGGCTTCGGTGCGTTGAGAAGCTGTAGTTAACATCAAAACATCTCATTGGCTTTCATGGACGCCAGAGGAGGTCCCATGTCAAACATGCTTGCTTTTTTCCCCTCCAGTTTAACATGGACTCTTTTAAGACATTTTTTTTTCAAAAGAATCACCAGTGTAAAGTGTCCTACGAGTTTCCGCCATCCAGAATAACCACAGAAATAACCACATTTTTGTTTTAGCTGCAGTGAAGTTCTCTGTTCAAATTGGATGTTTTTTTTTCTAAAAAAAAAAAATGCTGTTCCAGTTTCTCAGATTGTATGAAACCTAACAAAGGCACTGTGGTTACAGCAGTGTTTGTGTGTGTTTATTTTAGCATGTGTACCAGCCCTGGGACTGGCAAACAGCTTTCTTGTATAGGATTGTTGAATATCATTTTTTCCATTGGTCTTCCTAACTGACAGACATTTTTTATCAAATACTTGTACACAGATATGAAACCACCGACAGTCTGAAGATTTGACAGCTACCAAAAGCAGTTCCAAAAAGTACAGTAGTAACCCTCAGGACATGTTCTTATTAAAAAAAATAATTAAAAATCCATTAAAAACAGTAAAGTCAAATAAAGGATTTTGACTTGATTTTTTCCCATCATTAGCACACTTTAATTACAGAATAACAGGTTAAAAAACACTGCTTTTTCAGTGTAATCCTCGCCATTCTCTAGTAATATAATTATACAATGTTTTATTCTAATATTGTAATGTCTTTTTCAAAACAGGCAATATATTATTTTATATATTTATTTGGAGTTAGTGTTGCATCTTAGTCTTTAACTACAGCCAAACAGTAATATATTTTAATGTAAAATAAAGTTTCTATCAGAATATGTTAAAATCTTAAATACTGAATATTATTCCCAACTTTAAACTCATTCCTTTCTATGATACCATAAATTTTATTACTGTAGTAATTTTCCTGCTTTTACACTGCTGACTACAGAGCAAATCATACGTGTTCAGTAATATATACAGTAATTAACTATATTCATTTAACTCTATTAGCTTCAGCAAGGAAGACCAAGAGGACATACCCCTTCCTGCTTCTGTAATGCCATTGGTACGTTTCTGTGACCATGAGTATGCCTTTCCCATCCCATGGACATATCTCTCTCTCCACATACCATCAACATACGATAAACACACTTTCTCTGTACATAGACACACCCTCACCATAGCATGAACATGCCTTCTCCGTACCATGGACACACCCCTCCTTGCCACGGGCCCGCCCTCTCCATACCATGGACACACCCTTCCTTGCCACGGGGCCGCCCTCTCTGTACCATGGACACACCCCTCCTTACCACGGGGGCGCCTTCTCCGTACCATGGACACACCCCTCCTTGCCACGGGCCCGCCCTCTCTGTACCATGGACACACCCCTCCTTACCAGGGGGCCGCCTCCTCCATACCATGGACACACTCCTCCTTACCACGGGCCCGCCCTCTCCATACCATGGACACACCCCTCCTTGCCACGGGCCCGCCCTTTCCATACCATAGACACGCCCCATGCTCTCACCGTACCCCTTACTGTACTACACGATTAGCCTCTCTGTGCTTCTGTGATACCAAGCTGCCACCGGATCTTCCTACGTTTCCTCTAGTAAATTTTATTTTAAACTGCCAGAAATGCCAACAAAACAGAGGAATACCTTTGCAGCATTTCCAGCGTGTCGAAGGAGGGCTTTGTCGCTTAGTTTTCTCCGTCGACGGCGAACCTGTAGGTCTCCGTGACGGATCTCCCGCTTGACTCCCCGCTTCCGTAAACATGACACCAAGGTTAATGTCCTCTAAACATTCTGCTTAAAAGCAAGGGAATGTAGTAACATTCACTATTTTGTTTTTGTTTTGTTCTTAATTTCCAAAATGAATTCTTTGAAACGAAGGAGCCACTGCCTTAAAAAGTAATGTATCATGGCTTTTACACTATAAGAAAACAAATCATTTGTCTCCATCTCCATTTCCTCTGTTCACATGTGACACAGTGTAAATTGAGCCTATAAAGGTATTTTCACATACGATTTGAGATTATGTGACATATTTCATAGTGATTATTATTCGTCTTGAGTCAAACGTGTGCCAGTCTCTTCTTAAGCTGAATATTCAGATTTTATTCTCTAAACACAGTATTCATTATTTAAATGCTGGCGATCTGTCGATAATAGCAACTGCAGACAGGGTGAATACGTTTGGTTTTATATACCAAACCCATTTTGGTTGCATTTAACAGTTTCATAGCCACAGCCAAGACTATCTGGGAACAGAATGGATCTTAGAAGTTGTGAAACTAGTTTCTGCCCACTGCACTAAAAATGAGCGTTGGCTTGTTTGAAAATGAAAACAGTCGGCAGGATGAAGCCCACAATGTACAAGACAGACTATAAAACAGACATTTCCACAGACAATTTAGTAGACGGATGACAGAACTGGCTGCCAGTTTTTTCTCCACTGTTTCTTCCCTCCCTTTCTGTATAAGCGGTGTTATTGAGGGTGCTGGAGGACCGGCCCGCGTGCCGCATTTCCTCCGCGCCAATTCAGCCAGCTCCACGGATCTCAAACAGTATGTCTTGCATCTCAGGTAGAATGCAACGTTTCCACCCCACTCACCAATGAAACGGAAATCGCAGAATCACGTGGCAGAAGTTCTGGGTTTTAGTTGTACATGTTTACGTGTTCTTGGAATACAGTGCACTGTTTTAAACGTGTTGAGTATTACTTTGCATAGACCTAGTTCACAAAAGAAAGACTCCAGTCGTTCTGTGATAGAGACAAGCCGGCTTGCTGTGCTACAATCACTAGAAAGGTGCCACGTCCTGGAAGCTCGGGGCTGCTGAGGGTTTTTGGCCCAGGAAAGTTGGCCCTTCATGAGGTTTAGGTAGATTCTGTCTTTCTGCTGTACTTGGGCAATGTTACTGTGTATTAATGATGAAAAAATATCAACATGTTCCCATACACATTTTGTATTGGTTCATAAAAAGACATTTTTACAAAAAAAAAATAAAAAGAGAGAGTACTTGTCTTAATAAAAGAGTTATTAATGTTCAAAGTACATGTTGTTTGGCGTTTTTTTTTTATTTTTTACACTAACCGGTGGGTTTTCTGTGATAGAACTTGGGAGACATATTCTGAAAGATTTATAGAATATCTAGGACAGGTGGAATGTGGTCACATCCCAGAACTACCTTCTCATGGCGCCTCATTGTGAGAGAGCGACTTATGGTCTGTGCTTGAATGGAAACTCCGAGAGGGGGGTCTGGGACTTTTCCTGACAGGGGGACATCAATTCTTCAGTTGGCAGGCCTTTTACCCAGGTGCTGGGAGGTCAGTGACACCATTACCAGCAAGTCAAAAGTGCTTTCAGCATGTACTGCTTCAAAATGTGAATTTAAAGGAAACGGCCGTAGACCCCCCCAGGACATCGGACTGACTAGCAGTCGTGACAATAACAGACTGAAGCAGACACTCTGAAAGTCACCAAATCCTGCTTCTACTCATCGTGATTAACTCTGGTTCCATCCAACGGCCACAGGCCTCAGATTAACCCTCTGAATTTGGAGGCTGGTTGCAGATACGTCCTTCAAGCTGGAAGAGGAAATCATACAAAAACGGCATGTAGTGCCTTACGTTTTCATCGTGAATGCTAAACTCACTGCTGGTTAGGGCTCAGAAATATAATATTGTGCTTTTCACACAAACCCAACGATTTACAGAAATACAGAGCCCATGTCTGACACCATCAGGAACCGTGACTGAATGTGCCTGATAAATAAAAATGTATTAAAATGCATGTGAAAGAGCCACAATTACAGCTCCTGTCTGTATATTTTCATCAAGAAAAAAAGTTTGATTTGCACAAAAAAAATACAAAGCCGTTTTCACACCTCAGCACCAGAGCTATCAACAAAAAACCTTTTTGTTGATTATGGAGGCAATTCTTATTTAACAAAAAAGTACATTTTAAAAATCCACGTGAGGCTTTCATTCCAGCGACACCACACACTAGCATTAGCTTCCAATTTAGGCACACAAAGCACAGCGCTTCCCCCATTAATGGACCAAAAAAGCACTTAGTCGACATTCCCAGCCACACAAAGACAGGAGGGTGGGCATTTTGGCCTGGTTTGGGTTTTCCATACTGTAACACAAGCATATCCTAAACTCACAGCCTGCCATTGGGGGATTTACCCACCTTATCTCAGGCTCCCTGGGACCTTCATCCCACAGCACGTGGGCAAGTAAATCTACTGACAAAAAAGAAAACTTTCTATAGATCTGTTTGCATAGAGAATACATGAAAACAGATTTCCGCACCGGCCGTCTCGACGGCCCAGGTCGGTTACGGGTAACATCAAAGCCAAAACGTGACCCTGACAAAGCACAGCACCCAAACCCTCCTCTAAGGGGCACCATTTTATTTTTTCTTTACCATTTCGACCTCCTGAATCTTTCCACTCCATGATGGTTTAGAGGGGACATATTCTGCTACTTGGCTTTCCAATCTGCCCTGACTCCTGCCTGAAGCATTGTGGGTTTGTCACCTGACAGGCTGGACTGGGTAACCTGGCTGTAATTCTGTAAGTCACACCTTACAGGTTGACTGTGTAACCCGGTTGTAATTCTGTAAGTCACACCTTACAGGTTGACTGGGTAACCTGGTTGTAATTCTGTAAGTCACACCTTACAGGTTGACTGGGTAACCTGGTTGTAATTCTGTAAGTCACACATTACAGGTTGACTGGGTAACTTGGTTGTAATTCTGTAAAGCACACCTTACAGGTTGACTGGGTAACCTGGTTGTAATTCTGTAAGTCACAAATTACAGGTTGACTGGGTAACTTGGTTGTAATTCTGTAAGTCACACATTACAGGTTGACTGGGTAACTTGGTTGCAGTTCTGTAAATTGGCAGCACTCCTGCTCTCCTGGTGAGGAAATGAATGATGACATCATGCTGCCACATCACCTAGGGCCACCAGCTGCGACAGGTGTCCTTGGAGACGCTGTCACGGGTGCCGACCTGCAGGTCCCATTACTGCGGCCCGTGAGGCACAGTCGTGCTTAGAGGTGTGTGTTTCCGGCATATATTCTATTTGCACATTGCGTCAGCGGGCACCCACACAGACGGCAGCGCCGGGCCCAGGCGTTTCGCTCAGCCGAGAGGCGTCCCCCGTCACTGCCGCAGACTGGCAGCTCTAACGAGAGCCCTGTTTATCTTCCCTAACGGCGTCACACCAGCCTCATCTTATTTGTGGGAGATGTCATATCGCCACCAAAGGTCCCAGACAATTACGAGCAGGAGTTAATAACGTAAAGCCCTGAGCAGAAGCACGCGAGCCTCATACTGCACACAGCGTCGCGTCGCCCCGGTCTCTAGCTAACACGCTTACAGGGAGGCCGAAGAATTCGAAACGCCTCCTGAAAAATGGCCACCTTAGTTTAAGGCCTCACAGTCCCAATGCTTTATCAAAGCTTAACGGAACCTGTGTTAATCCAATATCTTCCCTTTATCTTATTTAGTATTGTCAAGTTGTAATTAGTTTTTAAATTAATTAGGGTTTTAATTAGAATCTAATTAATGCTCTTACAGGCTTACGAGGGAAGGCTTGGGTCACTCCTCAGGAGAGTACCATTGTTACACTGTAGTTTGAGTCACATCCTTAATTGTCGAAGGCTCACATTTTAGGCGATATACTTGATTTCTATCCTGGCGATGAAATTAAATGTTTTTATATCATGGGCTGGATTGACATTTAATTTGTTCTGCATAGAAATGGCACTATTCCAATTATCAAGGAACAATGAGAGATATCTCACTCTTAGAGCAAATTACAGGAAACACAGTTCTTTCTGGGATCTTTCTGACAGTTGCTTAAGCCTTAAACTGATTTATATTATGTTTCTGTCATCCTTGGGTGTTTTTAACCTCTCAAGCACACACTGCGAAGATACCCTATTGTTGTCAGTGTGAAGGTCTGCCCTAGCAATCTTTTCATTGTATCTAAAACTTTTACACTCAGATTAAACTATTTACTCTCCAATAAACCCTCAAAATGTGCTTATAAACCAATCAACAAAAAAGGTATTTTTTTTCTGAATGCTTAAAAAAAGCCCGGAATGAGATTATCATATTGAAAGTGACTGATAACGATGACATGTCTGCCCCCTGGCCTCAGCTTAGACTGAACGGATGTCTCAAAGTGACACTTACATGCTCTCAGGCCCTGACTGCCGTCTCCATGGAAACCACCATTCCGAATCCACCGCTGACCGAAGTCCACAAGCTTTCTCATTGCCAGCCCCATATTAGTAAAGGCCCCATGGCTAGCTTATCCTAGGTGTTCCCAACCTTTCGATGACCACGGACCGGCATGCACTGTGCAAAGGTTTCACAGACTGGTTAAACTCAAACGGGGGTGGGAATGAAGTGCTGGCAGTCGACTGGGAGGGGTAGATTTACTAAGTTTAGCGATTTCCATTAATTTAATTTATTAATGTGATAAAAACACCAGGGTTCATTCAAAATAAAAATGCAACTTGAAAATATAAAGTTTATTTTTTGGAAATTTGCCTTCCCCTCCCCCAAACCCCCAGTGTTTTGCAGCAACCCAGTTGGATACTAGCACCAGACCGGGAGCTGGGAACCCCGGGCTTATCCTTTAGAGATAGTGGGACCATAGGGCTGGTGATCCTATACCAGTGGCTATTCCATAGCAGGGGAGCGTGTCCTCTGGGAGTGGCTATTCCATAGCAGGGGAGCATGCCCTCTGGGAGTGGGTGTGTCATAGCAGTGGGGGGCATGTATTCTTGGAGTGGGTATCGCATAGCAGGGGGCGTGTCCTCTGGGAGTGCCTATCCCACAACAGGGGGCGTGTCCTCTGGGAGAAGTTATCTCATAGCAGGGGGCGTGTCCTCTGAGAGTGGCTTTCCCACAGCAGGGGGCGTGTCCTCTGGGAGAAGTTATCTCATAGCAGGGGGCGTGTCCTCTGGGAGTGGCTATCCCATAGCAGGGGGCGTGTCCTCTGGGAGTGGCTATCCCATAGCAGGGGGCGTGTCCTCTGGGAGTGGCTTTCCCACAGCAGGGGGCGTGTCCTCTGGGAGTGGCTATCTCACAGGCAGGTTGTTCCTCTATGGGTGGAGGTCATAGTATATTGCTAATCTTTGGGGAGAAGTACTCCCACAGTACTCCCCCAGTACTCCTGTCAGCTAGAAGAGTTAGCAGAAATTCACTTCAGCAAATGTTCTTCTGTCAGACAGCCATTAGGCCCAACAGGCCTTTAATGTCACACGCTGCATATAATGTAATACCTGAACAAAGTAATATAATAAAGGCCATTGGGTTCACAGAGGATGTTAAGGCTTGATTGACCTGCTTTAGCATAACCCAAAGGAGGTGAAGAGACAGGATTTGTTCTCTGGATGTAGGTAAAGGTACCATTCATCAACATGCCTGTAGCCAACATCAGTAGTAATTTATAAAGTAAAAGTTAGAAAATATTAATGTGATGCAAATTTTCAAGCATGTTGGCATGATGGCAAGCACTGTACAAGGGTTCACGGTTTCTAGGAAGTGGCTGCAGTGAGTAGTAAGTAGCGCATTTCAATCTACTTGCGATGAGCAGGGACATTTCAAGTGTTCCTGGCAGTCATCCTAGAACACAGACACGGTGCTCCCAATCCGCACTGGCCATCGGCAGAGATGTGGGCTGACTCTGCCTGCATGCCCTGTACGGTGCCGGTAATCTCTCTGATCGGCGGGTTGGCACACCATGCGGACACACGGCGAGGGTGGGGCGCAGGCTGTGCTGCCACGCTGCAACACGGGCCAAGGAGCAGCGCTTCATGCATACATTTGAGGCTATGTCAGCTATAGCAAGGCCTGTTTGCCCCCCCTGTGTTATAAACCTTCACAACCTCTGTCCTCTGTAATCCGTGGAAAACCACATACCCTCCTTCACCATCTCTCCATCAACATGTATGCATTGGCTCACCTGGGTTCTTGCAGGGGCTGGAGCTCCCTCTAATGGTCGACTGACCACCAGGAATATCACATCCTCTCCACAGATGAAAAATCCAGCTCACTCTTCTGCGGTGTGAGAGAAATCTAAACCTCTGTCACCTTCATCGGAGTCCACAGATGGCCAGAAGTGATTAGGAAAAAAAAAAATATGGAGCATGTGGTGTGAAAAAAAATCTTGACCAGACTAAATGTCCCTCTCTAAGAGGAAGTTCTTCACCACAACTGCCAGAACTTCTTCAGGAGAGACACCTATAAAAACATGTTCACAGCCTGTTGCACTCAGAACAAGTACAATGGCATGATATTAATTGCTATAGTTTTAGCTAAATTGTGAGGAAAAGTTTTTATTTTTTTCTTTACACATTATTACTTACTTCACTCGAGTCTCTGTCTCCCTGATGTGGTCACCTGGTCAGGTCTATAGAGATCGGTGTCAACCATGTCAAAATCAGACAAAAGCAAGCGATCACACATGGAAAGACCAGAAGATGGAATAAAACCGACAGCGAGCTGCATTATTTCACATGACAGCGTACATGTCTTGCTACCGAATTTAGATAATTGCTGTCAAAGTTCAATGAGGAGAGAAAAAACAGCTTCCCCCTTCAGTAGAAATCAAGAAGAAATTAGCCCAGCCAGATGACTAAAGACCTTTGTATCGGCATCTTGTACTTTACATAGAAGTCCCAAATTAGCCATGTCCTGGGAAACAATAGCAGACATTTATCAGCGCTGGTCACGTCTGCCTTGCTCACCATCAGCCATTAATGCCCGCTGACGTACTTGGCGATAAACTATCGAGGTGATTTATGTTCTCCTTCTGTCCCCCACTGTAAAATTAAAATTTATTTTAATCTCGAGCCAAATAATAATGCACCGGCCTCACACGGTTCTGAAACTGACACCCAACGCCCTCCAAGATGACCGTGATCTGCTGAGTTCAACCACATCCCCAAGGCAGCTGTATGAATCTCAAATACCCTCAATGGTCCTGAGATGGAGGACTCGGTTGCTGCATTATGGACTATAATGTGCTTCAAGGGGGAAATTTACCATGCCTGCCTGCCCTGGAAAGAAATAACATTGTCCAACATTAATACCAGAAAGCAACAGCATGCATTTCAGCCCAGACCTTCAAGTACTCCTGTTAATCAACCTCAAAGTACAATTGAATCGTTTACCAGCTGTGGGGAGCAGAAGCAATATTATAGACAAAAAAAAATTATGTTCAAATATTGCTTTTGTGCTGAAAAATGCATGTCACACCACAGTATGTCCCAGCAGATACAGTAAATGGGCAACAAAGAGCAATTTGCACCAATGAAACATGTATATGAATGACAAATACCACATATGTGACTTTCAATGATGACACCAGTGTGGAGCTGGGCTGACTCTCAATTGGTGCCTTTTGAGAACCTGCCCGCATTTCCACCGGTTTAAAAAAAAAAAACGGAACAGTAACGTTACATAGGCGGAAGTGAGAGTACAGTACTGAGATGAAGTGTCCTCTTGTTCTTCCACATTGTGCCCTTTTATGCAGAATATTGTTTCTCTTATATCAGGCCGAATTGTTTGTATATTTCAACTTCACAATCAAACAAAAAGGGGAGTGAACTGTCATTGGAGACATGGGGTAAGAAAATGCTTTACCTTTATCTATGTTTTTTTTTTTACTTTTAAAGACACTACAAGTTACGGATGGAAGTTTGATTTTAATAATAACATCAAGCAGCATTAATAATTCACAGTGAATGCTCTCAAAATGACAGTCATATAACCTTTTTCATTTTTTTTTTTCACCATTGATTTGACGGTGATGTAACATAATTCGAATTAGCCGCAGGAAACCTTCATGCGATGCTCTGGCAAATACTTTTACTGATGTTAATGTGACAATTACTGTGATTATTATTTTTTTTGTTTATTTGTATGCTGTAGCCAGTCCTACTTCCGCTGACCTTATGGTTCCAAGTTCTTAGACAAACTTTACCATGGTATCATGCTGGAGCTGTTTTTTTCTGGCTCCAGGGTTATTTTTCTTGTGGTGGAGACACGTGGAACCAGTTCCGAATCGGGAAAAAGTCCAGCACCAGCACAGCATTGGTGGAAACGGGATAATAATCATGTACTTATGTCAGATTAATACCTGTATGATCCAGCAAAGAGAACCGACATCTCAAGGAGAGGTAACTGTACTGTAGACAGTCAGTAAATGATAGAGCAGGAGGGAGATCATTCTGTCTCTAAGCTGTCAAGTGATCCTGACTGAAACACACAGGCGCTCATACGTCTATGAGAAGAAGCTCAACTTGCCCTCCGATTCCAGCAGCAAATGTGCTGTATATGTTAGCTCTCATGGACTGCGCTAGTCATGCACGTTCATGCATACGTATCTCGCTATAGCTATATAGAAAATTTGATGATCTATGAGGCTATTATGCTGGCTTGATTGAGTAGTCTTTTTATAGTAAAAAATAAATATGTGAACCATTCGCTGTTTTAGAATTATGTTTATATTGCAGAAGTCGTCTTTTTATTTGAATACAATGCTGACTTGAAAATCTGACACAGATATTAGTAGCACAGTTCTGCTTTTAAGGCAAACTTAAGGATATCAGATGCAACCTGCTTGTGAAGCTCTACGTGGGGGCAGGGGGGGTGGGGGCAGGTTACCGGGAGACGGCTGATCCTCCTCGATGCAGCCAGGTGCCGGGAGGAGGTGGATGGTGGGGGGGGGACACGTCAGTCTGGCCTGTGGGCAGGGGATTAGACAGGAGGGGGGAGGGGGGAGGAGAGCTTTGTCAGCACACCATGTACACAACGGGGCATGTCAGGCCAAGACATAATGAATGCCTGCTTTAATGTGGAAAAAAACCCCTAATGTCTCTCATTATTTACCTCCACCTTCAGGGGGGGGGGGGAGTGAGAGAAACAGAGCTAGCACATAATTATTACATTTCTCAATTTAAAATTGTGTAAAGCCCTTGCCCCACATCTCTCATGGGCAACTCCTGTGATGAGGACACAGGGAGATCTATCCAGAGACGCACTCACTAACCATCTTGCCATTTTCCCCCTCAATATAATCTAATGGTGTCCAGAGCCAACACAACAGTTTAGCCTGTGGGCACAGAAGGAACTATTAGGAATAACTAGTGTTTGAATAGGGCCCATTTAAGAAATCTTTATCAGCCCTGATAACCGTCTCGTGGATTATTTCACTTGAGTTCCCCAGTAAAAATGATTTTTATCGTGGAAAAGTAATTAGCGATGCCAAGAGAAAGGCCTGCCCGCATTTCTAAGGCTTTCTAACGTTAAGCAAGGCTCAGTATATAGACAGCAAGGCCAGCTCCTTTTTCTTTTTTTATGGGAATGATTACGATGCATTCTATGTAGTCGAGAGGATCTCAACCTTGTGATGCTCTCGGCGTTCACAGCTGAAAGGACCTGAAATGGTGAGGAAGACCCGGAAGGACAACGGATACATGTGCTGGAGTGGAAGATCTGTGACCCCAAGCATGGGGGCTGGGGGGTGTCTATCTTAAATCCAAGCTCTGCTTCAACACCAACTGGATCTTACATGCTCGTTTCCCCTCCCCACTGGCTTTTAAAAAATATACCTCATACTTAGCAACGCACCTGTGGTGTGCATTATCTTCCTGGTGTAAATGGTCTTTTGCAAACAAACTCAACCGGATGAGACCATTGCGAATGCCTCAGAAGGAGCTGTGCACATTAACGATCAGGATTCTGCCGCTGCTAACCAGGATTAGCAATATGTCACTGGGAAACATTTATATTAGCGACCCAGGTTCAGCATTCTGCCCTAGGAAGTTTTTGCATTGGCGCCCCAGGATCAGCATTCTGGGCAGTTTTTATATTAACGACACAGGATCAGCATTCTGCCACTGGGCAGTTTTTATATTAGCGACCCAGGATCGGCATTCTGCCACTGGACAGTTTTTATATTAGCGACCCAGGATCAGCAATCTGCCACTGGGCAGTTTTTATATTAGCTACCCAGGATCAGTGTTCTGTCACTGGGCATTTTTCACACTAACAAAGCAACGTATCACTGAACATTTTTGAACAATAAGCTGATTGTCATGGGAAGCAGCTTAAAGACACTGTAACAGACAAAGCAACGCCTTAAATAAATCCTTGAAAGGACATGCAATTAAAGTATCTGCATAAAGCAAAATCATTCCAGTTTCTTGTTGGGTCCTAATTTATTAAAACGAGAATAAAAGATTAATTAAAAGTGGTCCTTGCATTAACGATCCCTCATCAATATCGATTTCTGTGTAGTGTGCTGATCTGTTGCATCACACGGACAGAGAATGTCAGGCCCTCTTCTTCTCCATGGTTAATCAGGGCTGCTAAAAGCCAACTGGGAACAATGGCCCTCTGATCAAAGTTCACGCGGCTTCTGGCTGAGGCGGCCGTAAAGGTCACACGGACCTCACCGGCCCCACTGCCGCCACGGGTCCCTCGGCCCAGACAGGGCTACCTCTGAGCGGCAGGCTGACGGGGGTCATTAAAGGTCGACGGGACCTCATCAGCATGACCAAAGCGGCAGGGTGCTCACCGCCATTGGGCGGTCACGCTTCTGATGGCAGGCCGAGGCTGGAGGCTTTGGGTCTGGCCGTGACTGATGCAATCATCAGCAGTACCAGGTGTCAAGTTTCATTGTCACATGTGTTTGTGTGCCACAGTTGCAGCGTAGGGGACAGGTGCATGAGGGGACAAAAAGCAGTGCATCATGGGAGAGGAAGGTAGTGCAATATAAGTATTGGTGAACAATAAATAAGCATTAAATAGCCAATGCAGTACGAGGATAAGGATGTGCAAATTGATACCAGTATGCTGACAAAGTGCAGAAATGTGGTATATGAACAGTAATGTGCAAATGGGTATGCAGTCGGGGGATGGATGCCGGTCACCGGGTGTTTAGCGGCCTGGCGGCTTGGGGAAAGAGGCTGAACTGCTGGTGTGGGAATGTGAAGAGAGGATACTGCAGGTAACACATTCTCAGAGTAAAAGTACCGTAACATATAAGGTCAAAATGCCTCTGAGACTGCTGACAGGTCAAAGGTCGCCATCATGAACTCCGGAGGTAAGTTTTATGTCGACCTTAAGCTCTCAAAGCACATTCACTCAAATGTCTCAAATTGCATCATATTACATGGGATGTTAAATGTCGATCATTATGACAACATTTTCAACAACATTTTTCCCCACTCTTTTTGAAATCAATGAATGTTTTTAACTTCTATGTTAAGAACTTGCTTTTAGCAATTAGCTGTTTTATTTCCTTGCTGTAAAAATCTGTGATTTTGCGAAAAATTCGCCCGTGTAAATACTCATAATAACTTCCATTTATGATATGAATTTCAAAGAGTTCTTATACAATGCTGGAAGAATTCCAGATAAAATCGGCATTAGGCAAAGCGATTGTACTGCCTTGTGCTGAAACTAGTGAAACTTTCGCTGGTACTAGTTTTCACCAATTTTCCTTCTGCAAACATTTATCCCAAAATGTATCCCAGATTTTCATTTTTCATGATTGTTGATTGTTGTGTTAATGTATGTATATCAGTTCACATAAGACATAGTATAATGTAACAAATGAGTGTACGTATTATATGTAAAAAATACGTAGTAGCTGACTGTAGTACTTATGACTTCATGCTGTATCCATTTACTATTTATACTCCTATAAATACTGCAGTAATTATTCGTCAGCATACCCAAGCATCCCTTTGTTTGCTTCTGAAAATTGCATATGACCGCCTTTATGTGACTGTTTATAACTAGATTATTATAATGAGAAGTGGGGCAGCCACAAATGGTTTGACCTATATGGTTTTATTTGCTTTCATATGATCATGGTTTTATTCTCTCTGAGAGAAAGAAGCATGAAATTATGAAACAGTATGAAAAAGTTAATGTAATAAAGGGAGACTGATGAGATAAAACTAATTAATTCTCCTCCATCGTTCAGAAAGAGCAGAGGAAATTTCTGGTGTTGAATCTGCTACAGACAAGAGAATCTTGCAGAAAGAATAAACATGGACGTGAATACAGGTGATCTGGAGTGTCAGAGCAGTTCCACAGTAACTAATGATGAGTAAGTAATAATCACTAAATCACTAATAATCACTTAAAATATGTAATGTGGTTGAAAGAATGAGTCTTTGAAATTAAGCTCTGTTGTATTAATGTGAAATCCATCCAGAGCCTATGGGCACAAGGCAGGGAACAACCCAGGATGGGGCACCAACCCATCACAGGGCACAAGGCAGGGAACAACCCAGGATGGGGCACCAACCCATCACAGGGCACAAGGCAGGGAACAACCCAGGACGGGGCGCCAGCCCATCATAGGGCACAAGGCAGGAAACAACCCAAGATGGGGTGCCAGCCCATCATAGGGCACAAGGCAGGAAACAACCCAAGATGGGGTGCCAGCCCATCATAGGGCACACGGCAGGAAACAACCCAGGATGGGGTGCCAACCC